GATTGATTTTTTCTGATATTTTAAAAATAATCATGTTATTTTCAAATTTCAGGGGCCCTTATTCATTACAATAGTAAAGAAAAATAGGAACAAACCAATAATTGGTTTAAAATAAAATGCAATAAAAAAAACTTAAAGCAAATTCTAGTTGTAAAGTCACCAAGAGCGACATCTAGGGAATTTCCCAGTTTCACAGGAGTAATGGGCAAAAAATAAACATCCCCTGGCTTTTGACCATTTTTATTTACAGTTCAACTTGTGGTTATGAATAGCTCATTCATCCCTCCAACCTCTACTTTCCTTATCTATAAAATGGGTGTCATTATAGCTTTCCTATTACTATACAGGTTACTATAAGGAACAGAGTTAAAGAAAATTTCTCAAATTTCTAAAACTTTTAAGAAAGAGAAAATGACATAAAATTATGATCCCTTATGATCAGATTGTTGTTACACTTTAAATTAATTTCCCCAAGCTATCTGGCAGTGGTACAGGTTTAGCAAATTCTAGTTAGAAGACAGGCATATAGTCTTAAAAGGGAACAAAGGAAAAATGACCGCCTTTCTTTTTAAGACAACAGAAAGGAATTGAAAAATAATTTTACAACTCCCATATATGTTATTTATAATGAGGAAATATAATTATGCTTAAGTTGGCTTTATAGTAACTATAACTATACAAAGTTTTCACCCCTTAGATTGAGTTTTTTCTTTTGTCTTCATGAAGTAACCAGTAAAGACTCCCTAGATATCGTGACAATCACTGGGCCATTCATTTGTCATTCAACACACTGAGCATTGATCATATGATCACTGTTCTAGGCACTTGAGGACAGAGGAAGGAATAAGACAGATAAAGCCCTTTGCACAAGTCACCTCTAGTATGAGTTTTATTTCACTGAAATATATTGTACCTAGAGCTCATGTTTATATCATCTTATTTACCAACATGCAATTTACCAATATGCATTTTTCAAGGGTGGAGAAACTTTTCAAATAATTGGGTGGTGTAAAATAACATGGCTATTTAAACAGCAAAGCTCTCATTCCATCTTTCTTTAAAATTTTATTTTACAGTTTTTATGCAGACAAAACAATAGCCAGTATTGCATAACTTAAGTCACAGAAGAGATCTGGCATTTTTTCCATTTATTTTGAACTGATGTAGAATCTCCACTGAAAAAAAAAAAAACCAGCTAATGACTACATTGATCATATTAATCAGGCAACTAAACCCTGCGTATTGAAAAATAAGTGAAATGATCAGTTCAAGTCAATGCAACACACTAATGTGTTAGATATCAAATATTATGCAGGACAGCAGAAAAATATATATATTTTACTGTCTCTTATTTTGCTAGTGAAACCCAAGAG